AACCAAACTGGATGATCTCTTTTCAATCGACTAAATATATATGTAGTCATGTTTTAATTGTTTTTTAATTGGTATCCTTGCATGGGGTTTAGCTAAATGTCCATAAATTGTTCTCTTCAAGCTCTTCTATTAGTGTGTCCTGTTTCGTTATGACAGGTTCTTTCTGTATTGTCGAACCAGACATGCTCTTTTGGCTTGAAAATTACCTTATAAGAATATGCATTCGGTAGTCACATGAAAGCAAAAGACTTTACCTTTTTTCTGCTTAAAGTTTTTCTTTTACTAATCTGAATCCTTGCTTTCTGCTAGTGAAAAATGTTCACTAGCTTCTTCTATTCGATATCTTCGTCTGATTCATGCAGAGCCTTCTTTATTTATTTATTTACTTTTTGTTTCTATTTCATCATAATACGGAGTTTCTGTTTTTCCTCCTCTCCCAACTTGATCCCAAAATGGTTGTTTTTGCTTCTAGAACTCTTTCTTTTGTGTTCGTGTACTTTTTCTGAATCTTTCTTTTTGGTTCTGCAATTTTAGCCTTTACAAATCTCTTATATGATCACAATCTCCTTTCATTCATTAGCTTTGCAGACTGTGAACTGAGTTTTATGCACAGACATCTGATGGAAACTGTCTTCCATGTGTTACCTTATTACAAAAATGGTCGAAAAACGCTAATAATAGGGTGAATTAATGGTGATGACGCAAATAGTATTGTTTCTTATCTTGAATTTCTATTACTTGTATAGTATGAATTTTGCCAAGACACTCGATCAACCTTATTTCGCCAGGCGAAACTTCCTCTCATCCGAAAGCATCTTCGCAAACCGGGCCAAAGCCTCTTCATTTGTGCCACCCCCTTGAACGGGCTCAGCCCGGCCCGTATCCAAGTTCACTCTGCTCACCGGTTTCTTAAGCAACCCTTCTCCAATTTGTACCAACGTCTGCATGTTCTCGACAGTTGAGACATCAACCGACGACGCATCCCCAGACAACGTGTCATCCTTTTTCAACCAAAACATGTATATACATAAGAATATAGCCTTCAATCAAATTATGTGACAAGATTTGATGATTTTTTTTTTCTTTTTTTTTTTATGAATATTAGTAAATAGTCTTATCTTGTAAAAGGTGAAATATAGTCACTTTTTGTGAAAATATCAAATAAATAGCCATTTTGCCATGTGCAATGACACAACTATCCTTACTACTAAAAACCGTTTCTAAAAATCTGAGATTCCAGAAATGGTAATTTCTAGAAACGGTTTCTGGTAGTAAGAGTAATCGTGTCATTGTATAGGGTAAAAACGACTATTATTCATGCTTCTAGAAAAAGTGGCTATCTTTCATCTTTGCATTTGCTACTTGGCTGTAAAACCACGACACTGCAACATATATATTACATACCTGGATACGAAGGTAATTATGGTCATTGCGTAATGACTGGAAAATGGTGGAGACGTGAATGTCGACCATGTCTGAGCTGGCATCACTGAACACGTCGATGACGGGAGTCGAGCCTCCGTTGAAGATCCACGAGAGGGAGCCCCACCTGGCGGCCTCTCGGGCGCTGTATTTCTGTTCCTCCTTGGCCACACCAGTGCCCAATGACAGCACCAACATGCGCTCGCTGTCCATCGGCTGCATGCCCTCCAACTCCAAATCTCCCACAAGGATTTGTTTCGAAATGTGGGTTAAGGCCACAAGGGTCTGCAGTGCTTGTATACAATATTAGAATAGTAAAAATAAAAACAAAATATGTTTATATAGTAGTAATTGAGACATAATATAGTAACTTTTGAACAGTTTTTTCGCTCCACTATGAAAAAATGTATCAAGTGTTTCACACTCAACACACTGATAAATTACCTTTTTTCACCTCACAAAGTGCGAAGAAATTATTGTGCGATGAATATGTCAGAATTATGTTGTCCATTCGTACACCATTCACACATTTTAAGATGAAAAAGTGAAAGTACAAAAGCGTTGTGCATGAATATACGATAGTTATGCGTGCCATTCACATGAGAACTTAAATTGTCAACCAACCGGTGTGAAAAATTATCTCTTATTATAATGGAGTGAAAAAATAATCGCTAGTAACTTTCAGGAAATGTCAATTGACCAATCAAATTGTGAACATTGTGCAAATTATGTGAACTATTGCACATACATATTTTGCAGACTTTTCAATTAGTTGGTGACAGTTTTTGCATTTTTAATGGCACATTTGCTCGATTTTTGTTAATTGTTATGTGATTACACAAGCTATTTGGGTATTTGACATCTACCCTAAATTATTAGTTATATTAATAATTTCGCCCCCCAAAAAAAAATAACGAATCGAATATTTTCACTTTCATGATTGCAGATAATGTCCTCTGACTAATTAAATAGCAAATATCTTGCTCAAGCATGTAACGTTTTTTTGTCGAAACGGTTAGATTTTTAGAATTAGAACATATATTTACAACTAGAAGACGGCCAGAAGTCGAATCTAATGGGAGGACATCCGAGAAAGAGCCTAAACACCACAACGCACCCACGATAATAATACTAATGTAAGTTATTCGATTCAATTTTGCATTTTTTAGCAATTCGTTAGTGGTTAATTTTTTATGACTTGTATTTTTTTGGAATATTGTGCTTCATGTTTTTAGTTGTTATACATTTTCAAGATATGTAATTAATATTTTTGAAAAAGAAAAAATCTAGATATTTTCACTTGGGTACTCACGGGATTGTTAGCTGCAACCCCTCCATCAATAAGGTCAAAGGTTCGAACTTGGCCGCCTCCATCTCTGATCTCGAAATAGTGAGGTGGCAGAAAAGTCGGGGCAGCTGACGTGCCCAGGCATACGTCAGACAAACGGGCATTTTTGGAAACAACTGATTTACCCTGTTCCAAATCCTCAATAGAAATTTAATTAAAATTAATTAAGTGCAGCTATTAATTAATTAATTAATTAATTCCCTTACATCTTTGGTGGTGAAGATAACTGGCTGCAGGCGCTTGATGTCGAATGAGGGTATCACCAAATTTGTTAAGGTCTGGCTCATTGTGAGATTACCCAAAAGCCCCTGGACCAGTGATTTGAGGTACTTTCCATCATACTTTGGACCACCAATCAAATTTGTTAGCCTAAGCACAAAGTTGTCTCGGCTGGTTTCAACATTACAAAGAAAAAAAAAAAAAACTATTTAATAATGATAATAATAGCTCAACTAATCGATCAAATTTGAAGTCGGTAAGCATCGTGAATTAACTTATAATGTATTTAATTGGCCTATGATATGGTATTCAAATAAGTTTGATTTATTATATTCAACAATAAATTATGTCGAAATAATATATGAACTATTAAGTATTAACTAACTTATCAAACTATAAGTCAGAGTTTCAATAACATCTACCAAATATAATATTCTTATTGTCCTACAAAACTATCGTTAAAAAAGTATCCCTAGACTATATATATTTCAGTCTTACACTTTCTGCTTCTCCATAAGAAATAATGGAATTTCATATCCCACCCCATACTTATAAAAATATTACAGTTAGCCCATTAGGTGTAAGAAGTAAACATGCCTGAAGGGAAATTTCTATAATTTTTCGAACATATTGTCTGGGTTTCTGTCGTAATTAAGTCAAACCACATACAAGGGTGACTTCGTACAAGTACGTACCCTAGATTAGGTTAGAGAGAAAATGCATGTACTTGATCTACCCTATGATATAGGGAAGCGTACGAGTGAGAAGGATATGAATGAGATCTCAATCTCAAATACGATAGAAACTAAACAAATCTTATTTCATTTCAATAATCAACTACTCTAATAACAAAACACAAAAGCCCTTTTAAATAAGACTATTCAACTAAACCCTAACTTATTCTCCAAACTAAATAATAATAATAATAACCATAATTATTCTGCATCACCCTACTTATCTATGAAAAAACAGGCAGACTGATTAACTAGGTCATTAAATACAAATTCTCATATAAGTGTTGCGCTGGTTCAATTTGTTATTCTTTTAATAAAAATGTATTTTTATATTATGAAACCATCATGTTTTTATTTGTGTTTTTTTAGAGTAGACATTTTAATTTGAAAGTATACATACTTGTTTAATATTTTACAGTTGTTTAACCGTTAGGCCGGACTAATTCAAACTTATTGATAGTAAAAAAAAGATAACCTTTAATTAGCACTAACCTACTCTTTGGAAAGATTTTGGGTGAGTGCTCAAAATAGAAGGTTGTAATATTCTTGGCCGCATACATAGGACGATTATCCATTCCAGGAGCTGTTATCATTGTTGCAATAAGCCCACCTGTGCTTGTTCCCGCTATCACATCAAAATAATCTGCAATTCTTGCATTTGGACCATCCAATTCCTAAAAAAAAAAAAAAATAATAATAATAATGAGAATTAGATTATAAATACATGTAATAATTATTATCGATGTATAAGTATATATATGACCTGGAGTTTAGATTCCAGGTAGGCTAAAATCGTGCCAGGGATAATTCCTCTAATGCCACCTCCATCGATGCTCAACACGGTCACCGTCCGACCTCTATTTTGAGCAGCGGAGAGTGGAAGCACCAAAAGCTGGAGTGCTATTAGCAAATTGAATGAAAAAAGAACAGCCTTTTTTCCCATATTTTTTATTTTTTTGGATTTCTCTCTTCTGGAGAAAATGGAAAGAGGGTGAGTGAAAATGGTACGTATATTGTGTGGAAATGTGCAGTCTATTTATAGTTTGCCAGTGTGTAAGGGCAATAAATAGAGTTATGGGTTTGGTTATTTATATATATTTTTTTTTAATGGCGGGGCCGTTTTTTCAGTGTTTTCGTTGAAATTTAACTTATTGCGTATAATTTTGAGAATGTGCCAACTAGTGGATTTTGTCCAATTGTCCCACTAAATGTGACAGTTTTTGATGTCTGCGTCTGCGGTGGGAACTTCATTTATTTTGGTTTGGTCATATTTATTTTTCCTGCCATTTTTCTTAATTTATTTCCTTGCACATGGTTTTAGATCTTAAGACTATGCAGGCGAAACTAATATAGTATTGGGACGTTAGTTCAGATGATAGAACATAATATTGAAGATATATCACCTTCAAAAGCTATGAATTGGTTTAAGAAGATATTTTCTGAAATGGTATAAATATAAGTGAAAAAGCACTATTTTCACCAAAGAATGAAAAATCATGATTTTTTCTATTCCAACAATTCAAAACATAACTTCTATAGCTCGTATTTTATGGAATCAGTTAACGTGTCAGGGATCGAAAAATCACATATATGATCATAATTTTTTCAAATAAATATTTGAATAGAGTTTTTCCGCGGTCATAATTTGTAGCGTGCCGCATACCCTATTGTCGTATTGAAACGCCTTGTAATTTCACAACGGTCATAAATTAATCCATTATTATTGTATTGCATTGCGGTAGTCACGTCGATCGGTGTAAACCACAACGCCTAATTGTATAATTCTTTCGTTTCAATTGAGATTTTTGGTTTTGTAAATTTTAAGACACCAATGGTGGACTCTTCGAAATAATGAAAGTTGTATATCAATGTACATGTTTTTTTTTAATTAATCATGCTACATTAACACATTGATGGATATAAAGTTTAAATATTACACATCCTACTACAACGTCATGTAATTTTACACATTACATCAACTTTAACTCAATAATCCCTACACTTACATATCATTTATATTATCCATTATGTCAAGATATTATTATTATTATTATTATTATTATTATTATTATTATTATTGTATGTCTTTGAACAATATTATTGGGCAAGTCTAGTATCAATAGTTTTTCAACTTGGACTGACCCGGCAGGTCGACCTCGGACCCAATCAACCCGAAGCTAGGACCGGTTCGGGTGAGTGCTTCATACCAGGTGACGACATACCCGGTCAAACTCTGTCAACTAGGTCGACATGAGCATCAACCTAGCCGAGTCAACTCAGTTTGACCCAATCACTATAATTTTTAAAAGAAAATATATATTTCTTTTAAAATAAAATCTATGTATATATATATTTATATGATAAATATTTATTATGAGTTACAATACTATTAATACTTTTATGTACAAAACATTTATTTATCTTACTTTTATGTATATTTATATAATAAAAATACTATATATATAATTTTAAAAAATTCAAAATTAAGTATCCGATTAAGCTTGATTCGATAACTCGATGACTCGAAGGCATGTCCGAGTCGATTTCTGATCCGGCATAACTCGATGACTCGAAGGCATCATTATTGTCTTTGCTATAACAATTTCAATCATTTTTATGAGTTGACGTAGTATTTATGGGAAAACTAAAATGATTTATTTAGACAAATATTGTATATAACTATTGTAGTCTTTTCATATTTTTGTCAACATCATAATTGAAACCCTCATTTCAGAAAAATCAGAAACTTCGCTTCCGAATAACACCAAACAACACAGTATGAAAATATGAGGAAAATAGGGAAAACAGCTTTGAGGAAAAAAAATATCACTTTTTCGGTTTCAAATTCAATATAGAATATTAATGTCGGCATGTTTCCAATTATTTCCCAAATTATTTCAAACGTAACAAAGGTATTTTATTTTTTAATTTTTTGAAAATTCTAAGTTTATATATATAACTAGTACGAATCTCATGCGATGCACGAATAAGCGATATTAATTAATATTTATAAATTAAAAATTCTCATTAAATAATATTTACAATTTAGAAACATGGAATCAACGTGCAATACAATATACTTATATAATTTATTGAAAATATTATATGAAATTTAAATTGTGCAAAATTACTTTAAAATGTCTATTAAAATTAGTAAGCATCCCGTGCGTTGCACATAACTAATAATAAATTATATTATATTCATTTTAAAATATGTGTCATTACAATTTTTTTCTTCACAAATTCGATTTTGCTATAATGTGATTACATAAAGTAATTTTTTTGGTAAAATTATATCATAAAACTTATATTGTTTAATTAATTAAAATAAATTTATTTTGTATAAAATATTCAAATCTTAAGTAGTTGAGTAAAAACAATCAGTCATAAGATTTTTTATCCCAAAAAATCGACACTCTTTATCATGCTAAAAAAATGAACAGTGCATTTCAAACAAAAATTATTTGAAATGTCGTAACAAAAAATTTGACCAAAGCTTTTTCTATAAAAAAAATTTATAGATACGCGCACATTATATCAAAATATCAGATCATATATTGATTAATTTTCAACAAATTTCCTACAAAAAAAGTTATAAAATAACCTAAATAAATTTGCTCACTTTATACCATATATTGATTAATTTATTTCCCATAGAAACAACAATCAATACCAAAAATAAATTCATCCACTATATACCATATATTAATTAATTCACATGATATAAGTAATTAAAGTATTTTAAAATATGGCTTAGTTAATTTCTTAAATAATGAGCCGCAATTTTCATATGTGATCATTTAAAATATATCATAAATTATTAAATTTAATTTTCCAAAATAGTAAATCCTTAATTTTTTAGGGAAATAGTTACTATTTAATAAATTACATTATATTCATTTCAAAATATGTGTCATTACAATTTTTTTATTCACAAATTCGATTTGGCTATGACGTGATTCCATAAAGTAATTATTTTGGTAAAACTTTATAATAAAACTTATATTGTTTAATTACTTAAAATAAATTTATTTTTGTATAAAATATCCAAATAAAAAAATTTAAGTAGTTGAGTAAAAACCATCAGTCATAAATTTTTTATGCCAAAAAAATCGACACTCTTTATCATGCTAAAAAAATGAACATTTTATTTCAAACAAAAATTATTTAAAATGTCGTAACAAAAATTTGACTAGAGTTTTTTCTATAAAAAAAAATATAGATACACGCACATTATATCAAAATATCAGGTCATATATTGATTAATTTTTGAACAAATTTCCCACAAAAAAAATGTTATAAAATAACTTAAATAAATTTGCTCACTTTATATCATATATTGATTAATTTATTTTCCATAGAAACAACAATCAATACAAAATATAAATTCAAATGATTTGAGTAATTAAGACATCTTAGAATATGGCTTAATTACTTTCTTAAATAATGAGCCACAATTTCTAAATGTGATCATCTAAAATATATCATAAATTATTAAATTAATTTCTCAAAATAGTAAATACTTCTTTTTGGAGGGAAATAGTTAATATTTAAAAATAATTAAATCTTTTTATATAGATATATGTAGATATAGATTATGCAGGGGTATCAAAAGTAGCCATATTACTAGAGTAGCCAATCACGTGGCGCATGTTATTTCTTCTTTTTCTTCTTTTCACACCTCCCACTTTGTCTGGGAAAAAGGTGATTTTCTTTCAATGACGATTAAGCTTGTAACTAAGGACTTGAATTAATATATCATGTTACTTGCTGTCAAAAAAAAGTAGCCATATTAAAAAACTAAATTAAAGAAGTCCCATAAATTTAAAATCGACCAATTTGAGAATAATATTTGCCCGAAATTCGAAGTCCGTACTAAAATTTAATGGGATATGTGTACATAACGTGTCAACTTCTAGTCAAATTTTAAAACTGGTTAATTTGAGGACAAAATTAGCTAGGAATTCAAATTTTGACCGATAATTCAATGGTATACGTGTGCATGACAGTGTCAGTTCTGGAATTTTTTTTTTTTTTTTTACAAACATCAAATTGTATCACCATACCTCGGAAGTACAAACCGGTAATCAATAGATTACACTTGGCAACCTCTACTAGCCTAGACTAGAAAGGAAAGCAAACGGGGGAAAACACAACAAGTGTTCCCTACACGATCCTTCACGGCCACAGAAACAAAATCCCACATAAAACTCACAGCTATGAGACGAAACTACTCCTACAGAAGGGAGACGAAATACTCCTACAAAAGGGAAACTACAAAAAACACACTTCGAAAGGGAGAGAAAAACCGAAAACACACAAAACACGTACAAAAACATTAACCAAAATAGATATTGAATAAGAATAAAGCCCTTTCCACAACTGCTAGACCACATAGCAATCTCAAGCAAGCCAACACTCAAATAACTACCCAATAGAGATTAAATCTCAGTTCGTAATCCTAGAAACTCCGTGACCGGCTATCAAGATCCGAACCAAAGACGAAGCCCTACCCAGGAAGTCACCTTCGGACTAGCACCATCGAAGCTGCAGGCGCCACCGCCAGCCGCAGCCCCTGTTGGCCCAACACCATGGCCCAAACGAGGGCGGGGAGGCAGAGCCACAGAGCAGCAGGCAACGAGCTTCAACCGCTAGACGATCAAACGCCCATCGCCGCCGCCACAAGACCGCCCGACGACCACCACAGACGCATCCGCCATGGCCCTCCATAGGGAAAGGAGGGGGAACCCACGCGAGGAAGAAAGCGGCAACCGTCGGAACGACAATCGACGTTGGTACCGCCATGGGAATTGGCTCCCGCCGGAGAAAAGAGAGGCGCCGTTGTGGAGAGGCGAACCAGAATTTAGGTTTTTCTCCTGTAAGGGGGAAAGGGGATGGGCGATTTTTAAGAGAGAAAAGAAGGAGTTGCACTTAGTGTCAGTTTTGGGATGAAAGTTCAAATTTCTAACAAAAATTGCTCTCAAATTGATTAATTTGGAAATTACGGCACTCCTACTTATTAATTGAGTTCAAATGAGACAATTATATATACGCTTTTAGAGTTACATAAAACTTTTTTTTTTTTTTTAATTTNCCCAACTCAACTAGGTATATCTATCAAAATTTCATGAAAAAAAAAAAAGAGAGAGAAAAAATAAAATGAAATTAAAGTGGACATTGAGCTGCATCATGACTGCCTAGCGTATTAAATGGAGAGCTTGCCTGAAATGGACGGCCAGTCGGCCACCTGAATTTTACCATCGCACATAATTAAGAATGTATATCGTCCTAAATAAATTAGTTCGAATTCAAGCGACAATATAATAACTGTCTGAATAAAATTTTGAACTAATAGTCCATTTGAAATCGACGTCAAATAATTGCAAGAGTTGGTCTTATCTGAATTCATGACTAATTAATGTGAAATTGTCATAAGTGGCCCCAAAGAATCGTTTGCGTTATTACCAACTAGCTAGTGTATATCCTGACTGATGGACGGATAAACTCATTATTTAAATTTTTTTTAGATTTTATTTTAAATTTATTATTTATATTTTTTACATCTTATCTCATTATGGAAATAAAATAAATACAAACAATGAAAACCATATTTTATTAAACACTTCTTTTTACATAACATTTTTTATTTAAAGAACATTATTAAATCTTGCAATTTTGATTTTATTACAAAAATTAATTACTTATAGAAACAGGTAACTCACCTCTATATATAGGGGTGAGCTTTACCATTTTGACCACGATTTATCCATTATATTCATGAGAAGTAAGTAGAACTTATGTTGACTTAAGCATCGGGGGCTTGATGTAGAACGTGAATAAGAACGAGAATAAACGAGATCTCGTACAGAACTCACACTATCAGATAAAATTCAAATTCATTCACTGTCTGCAACTGAAGAGAATACATAGATATATAGTCTTAGACTCCCCACAAACCTAACTTACTAAACAAGATAAAACCACATAATTATTTTTCTAATTCTAAATAACATAAATAATGAAATCTAATAATAATAAGGAAATAGGCAATAAAATAATTAAATAAGCACTGGCATCCGATCATATTTATCGAGGAACGAGAGGGCGATCTCGTCTCCATCAGGGCTTTTTATCGAAAAATCCCTCCAGTATGAGTGTTTTTATAGCTACTCAGAGTTCAACTGGCATGAAAGAAGAGGGCGAGCCGATTTTCAGTCGGTCGAATGTTTTGACGTACCAATGTGAATGTGTGATGGAGTTTCATAAAAACATTGTTCACATCTAGCCAACGACTTCTGGTCCTCTAGAGCCTGGTTAATCATTGACGTGCCTTTTCTTGATTTCAAAGGATAAATATTACACGTGGCTTTTTTCCACAGCTCACAACATATTTTCTTCTCCGATTTTATTGGATCCAAGACTTGGACTGTCCCATTATGCAAAATTCACTAAACTCTCTATTGGTCAATAAAACGCGCTTCACAACCTGTTGCAACCACCGTCATTGGTCCACGAGTTTTCTTTTCTATTTTTCTATTTTTTCTCTTTTAAATTCGTTATTATCAATTTCATCTATTTACTTATGTTTATTTGTGTTGGAAGTTGTTCTTATTAACTATCAACTTCAATTTTTCCGGCATTTTTTCTTGCAAAGTGCAATGCTATTTGAATATAAACATAATTTTACAGTAAGTACCATTACTCTTCTCTTTTATCGTCGGTTAGATAATAATGTATGAAAATTATTTTTATGATCCATATTGCATATTTATATTTTCCTTTTTGACTCATATATTTAAATTTGATTGACATGATTTTCGTGGTTTATCCTTTATGTTGTATACCAAATATTACTGGACCCAAGAGATACAAATTGTATGAATAAGCCAGCCCAAGCCTCTTCGAATCCCACTACTCAAGAAGTAATTAAAGAAGCCCAAGAGTCCTTCACCAAATGTTCTGTCAATCCATTACGGACTCAATTGTTGATAACATATCAGTAACTTTTGACGATCCCTCTACTAAGTATGAATTAGAATCGACAAAGTAAACCAATAAAGCGATCGCTAAACCGCTCTTTTACATATTTACTACACTTTTTGAAAACTTTTGCAATGATTTTCAAAATAATATCATAAATAAATCATTCATAATCGAGTCATAAACTAAGAACAATGCAATTTATAACCTAATAATGAAAATAAAGTACAAATTAACTATTCATAAACCGTAAAAACTAGTATCTATACTTATATAAAAAGAATAACCGTTTTTTTAAAATGGCAAGTCAATTTAATAGTCAAAGTGGATTAGTACTAAATCTTATCTCCACTCAAAACATGCATGCATTAAATGCTTTATATCTGTCCGTGTAAATTTTTTAAATCGGTTGCAAAAAATTCATTTGAATAGCATCAATGAACATAAATTTGTATAGATATGCACGTGTAACAATATTGTTACATTTAAACTTAATCTATACATGTAAAAAATATAAAATAAAAGTAATATCCTATCTCCATGTAAAAAAAAAAAGAATTTTTGTATTTTTCAAATCAATAGCATTAATTGAAAAGCCGAAAATATTGGCTTTCAGTTTCATACATACATCTGTTGCCCTTAAAGATCTGACCGATTTTATTGTACGAAGAATCCTAAGTATTATACTTACAAAATGCTTTTAGTTCCATACACACGTCTGTTTCCCTTAAATATTGGACCGAAGAATCCTATTATACTTACAAAATCCCATCGTAATCCTACACAATTCATTTAAATGTAAAAAATCTCATCCCTTATCTATATATTCTAACAGATTTTTTAAAAAAACTGTCACACAATTTTTTTTTTCCTTAAAAAAAGTTAATTTACTATGTCTAATTGCTAATATAAATCCTTGATCTACATTATTTTTTTTTTTCAAACGTTAATTTTCACCAATCTAAATACAAATACTATTAACACTTATAACATTTTAGATATTTTAAACATTATTTGGACAAAGACCAAGGAGCTGTACACATACATATATATATATATATGTATATATATATATATATAATCTTGACTGTCAATTTAACCTAACCTAGGGTGTAGATTTATTCTCATTTCTTACATTATGAACCATTCTCATTTGAACCTACTTCTATATATATATATATATATATATATATATATGGAGGTTAAACTTAAGTATTTTTTTTACATGTTTTCTTTAAAAAGTAGTTTAAAAGGTGGCTTCAAATATTTTTCAAGAATAATATAGAATATTTTATATACTTTTTATATATATGAAATAATATTTTAGATGCCTTTAATATATTTATCACATATTTCTCCCCCAAAAATATTAAGTACATACAATAAAAGTTAATAGAAGAAATGCAGAATTAAATATTGTTTTCAATTTTTTTCAGATTATCAGTTATATATAAAATCCTATTTTATTTATTACAGTTTACATTAATCGCTGAGCTGTATCTGTAAAATTAATAAATTTGCATAAAGCGTGGAATTGTAATGTGTACAAAATTTATTTTTAACGGTAACAAACTTACAAAAAGAAAATAATTATTTTGAAATATTATGTACTCAAATTTTCGGAAGTACCGTCATAATTTGGGATCATGTTTGTTTTCAATTTTTGTCATAATTTGGGATCATGTTTGTTTTCAATTTTTGTCTGATTATGAGTTATGTATGAAATCCCATTTTATTTGTTACAGTTTACATTAATCTCTGAGCCGTATTTGTAAAATTAATAAATTTGCATAAAGCGTGGAATTTTCTACAAAATTTCTTTTTAACGTTAACAAACTTACAAAAAAATAAAAAAATAAAAAAAAATTGAAATATTATGTACTCAAATTAATGGAAGTACCGTACTTTTGATGGCTCGACCAAATGGGGGAATAGGTTTGTCCGTTTAATCACTCTTAACCGGTTCTTTAAGTTTCCACTATTGTCTAAATCGTCATAATTTGGGATCATGTCAATTTTTATTTTATATATACTAGGTAATTTTTCTCTCAAAAAATTTATAATGTCTTTATTTAGGCTTATAATATTTTAGATAGTTTTATATAATATTTTATCATGTCATATTATATCTATTCATACACACACACACACACATATATATATATTAAATTAAATATTGTTAGACATGTTTTCTTTACAAAAGAGTTTCGAAAATATCTTTCATACAAATGTGAAATTTAAATGTTTTTAAAAATAATACAGAAACCTTTTACATACTTTTACATGTTTTTATATTTTAAATATACAAACTTTATGTTGTCTTGTACAAGTTAATTTTATATTGTTGATAATAAACTGATATACAGTAAATTATATCACATGTTAACCCTACATCTTTAATTTATAATTATTAGTTAATATTGTTTACTCTCATCTTTAATTTATAATATGTTTTTTTTGCTCTTTTAAAAGAGGATAATAGTGGTTCCCCATTTCTTTCATTAGGTGACTCGAACTCGAGACCTATTTATAATTAATTATTATTTAATATTGTTTACTCTCATCTTTAATTTAGAATATATTTTTTGTTGCTCTTTTAAAAGAGGATAATAGTGGTTTCCCACTTCTTTCATTGGGTGCCTCGAACTCGAGATCTACTTATAATTATTATTTAATATTATTTACCCATGTATCGCACGGGCTACGCACTAGTGTTATAATTACAAAAAAAATCATAAATATACTAATAAAAATGGATTTACCACACAATTTTCTCAAACATGCAAACACGTAGCAAGAATAGCCAACTTAAATGGGCTTTGATTATTTATATTGGATAGTTACGACTTAGGTACTAGTCCACCCACCCACGCTAGACTGTTACATTAAAATTGCACGATCAAATTTTGAAAGTGGGCCAACAAATGGACCGGCCCAAAGTTGCCACACTGCAAGCTACACCATGAAGGCCCGCAAATCACTGATATCGCTTGCTATGGACGCTGTGAGCTTGGAATCGAATACCGTAAAATCTCCGCGCCATTCCTCCCTTTCTCCGTCGGCGCCCATTCCCCACCTTCACCGGAGCCAGCGGCTCTTCATTAGCCTGAAAATCTATCGTCAGTCGTCGCTCGGCTTGATCATCCGCAGAAGTTTCATGGCCGATTTCAAGTCCAACTCCAGGTCCGTATTTCTACGTTTTTTATGTTTGTAGTGAGTTGATTATTCAGTTCCAGTGGCCCGGTTGTTGCCTGCGTTTTCTATTTCTCCTTGCTGTGCTAGATGAAGACCCA